TGGTGTTTTGTTAGATACACCTTGTTTATACACCAGAATTTGTACCATTTTGGGTTTAGAAGGTTCTACCTTCTATCATTTATAACTTTCCCACATATCAAAAAAATTCGATGTGTAGTTCCATATATATATATATATATATATCTATATATAAAATTCATGATAAAACGTTGAACAATATTTTCATTTTTTATCAAATTCTCAGTAGATCATCATATGATCCATTAATTTATAAATATCAATGTTTCTCATAGCGTGCATGAAATTATCCCTTTTTTTTAACCCATATATGTGCTAGAATTTGAATTGAAAATATTGGGAAAGAAGACTAGCACCCAGCAATCAGATTTAGTTGGCCGAACGAACCAAGGAATCATTTCTGATTGATTTTGTTTTTCATTTTTATTTTTTATATTTTATTATTTTATTATTTTTTTAGTTATTTATTTTTTTAATTACATTTCAAGTTTTAACTTAATGATCTCGCTCGATTCTCAACCTTATTGTATGGGATATGTTCCTAAAGCTTCATCTAAATGAGATGAAAACATCTATGTAGCTAGATGGACATGAATTGTTTATTTCTTTCACAAAAAATCCAAACTGATGCAAAATTAAGAGTTTTAAGTGTATATCTAGGTCCAACTGATGAGGTCTATATTGGATTGGTTGAAAAGCTTTGCCTTGATGTCACACACTTCTCTTTGCTTCAATTTAATCTGAAATCGGGCTTAGGTAAAGGTTGGTCGGGTTTGGTCTAGCACTAGTTTAGACACCGTGGAACAAGAGAATTTTAAATGGGGAAGTAGTGGAATTTTGTCAAATTCCATCATCACGGTTCTCAAATCATGACGTCGAGCCCACTTAATGGGATAAATGTTTGTTTTTGTTGTTGTTATTGTTGTTGAGAGCTTTACATGGATTTCTAGCAAACCAAAAATAAAGATCGAAATGATTGTTAAAAAAATATGATGGCAACACACCTGGCATATCCAAGGTGAAAAAGTAGTAAGATAGTCCTTTTGTATTAATCTCATAAGGGATGAACAAATATGTTAGAAGGCAAACTAAAATGGATTAAAATCTAATGCGGAGAAAAGAAGAAATATTTAAAGAGTGAAAGGGGTAAAATAGAAAAGAAGGCAGCTAAAATAATTAAAGATTATATTAAAAAAAAGTTCAAAATAGTAACAGGAACAATTATGCTAAAAATGAATGGATTATAACAGATCCAAAAAGCCACAACAATAGATAGGCACAACAATGTAGTTTACCAATGCTTTCACAATGATAACTATAATGTTGATCATGAAAGTCTTGCAGTCCTAAATTTTTATACAAGACAGCTATAGCGTGATGTATTTAGCCACTACATGGCATCATGTCCCATTATTTGTTAAGTATCCAAAGCTTGTGGAGAGGCCGTGTTGAAAAATTGTTAGCTTAGTTTAACAAATTTTAAGAGTTATTTACATACCAACAACAACCTCAGCCAGAACTAAAGGGCTTCCATCTCCAATAAGTTGCATGAGGTCTTTGACAATCCTCAAGTCGATCTTAGACTTGTTACCCACATCACAATCCTCATCACCTAAATTTCAATCTCTAAATGAGTCAGATCCAATTTCAATAAGAGTGCCAAGAGCAAAAAATGGATGCAATTCTAACCTGAAATATAATGATTACTATATAATTCAAATAAATAAAATTGGTAAAAAAAGTAAACCTTAAATGAGCGGGGAATGGGAGAAAATGGGGGTAAACCTCTTATTGGAGCTCAGACAACAAAGGGAAGAAAATAACTAGTGTATCCTCTTGTAAACAAATAATTTGTCAATAATTTGTGCTTCATAGAAAGCCTCCAAAAATTTTTCCAAACAAAGGTACAACCATTGAAGTAAGAGAGGCTCACTCTGTGCTTCATTAGGGTTTGCAAGTTGCAGATGCTTCAAGCATACACAGAAAAGATTAGCTTGCTGGCGTGCCTCTTGTCCCCGTATGTGTCCATAAAAAATAACTGCTAAAACAAAGGAATTCATTGCCCAATATTTTGGGTAAGCATCCATGCTATCGAGAAACTTAATAAAATATGTATGACCTCCATAATTCACAAGATAAACCTGACAAGATTTTTTCCCACAAAAAAGAGGTTTCAGTTTAACAATCAAAAAAATAGTATGCTACAGTAACAAATAAAATCCAGCATTACAACTTCTTCCTCCCAACAACAAATCCTTAGTTAATTATATAAAACATAGGGAAAGGAACCATCTAATAGATCCAAACAATAATAAACAAGTACGCAAAGCAGTCAGGATGTTTATGAGAAATACATTGTCAAGAGCTAGAATTTTTGTCCAAACGAAAACGAGAATTTGTCGCAGCTCCATCGTCATTGTTTGAAGTAGCTTGAGCACATAAGGAAATATTCCAACAAGCAAGGCCTGTCGAGGAAATTTGAACATTATTCAAATCAGCATATATAAAAAAATATTTCCTTTTTTTGTAGGAAATAGCAATGATGCAATATAATGATACAGTACCTGATCTACAGCCCAATGTCCCTTGTCAAGAAATCTTCCTAGAAGCACCAATGCTTGAAATCGATGAGAATGGCCAAGTAAAACCTATAAATTTTAAAAGGATAGAAAGAGATAAATAGTCAAGCAAAATGGGTAAAATATGCAAAAAGATAAATTTGATGTTGCTGGAAATGGGAGAAAATGGGGGTAAAACCTCTGGTTGGGGCTCAGACAACAAATAGAGCAAAATAACTAGTGTATCTGCTTGTAAACCAATAATTTGTGCTTCATGAAAATCCTCCCGAAATTTTCCCAACCAAATGCACGACCATTGAAGTAGGAGATGCTCAGTTTGTGCTTCATTAGGGTTTGCAAGTTGCAGATGCTTCAAGCATACATGGAAAAGATTAGCTTGCATGCATTCCTCTTGTCCTCGTCTGTGCCCATCAACAATAACTGCTAAAACAAAGGCGGCCATTGCCCGATGTTTTGGGTAAGCATCCATGCTATCGAGAAACTTAATAAAATAGGTATGACCTCCATATTTCACAAGATCAACCTGACAAGTCTTTTTCCCACAAAAAAAAATAGAGTTTTCAGTTTCAAAATCTCAAAAATAGCATGCTACAGTAACAAACAAACTCCGACATTACAACTTCTTCCTCCCATCAGCAAATCCTTAGCTCACTAAATAGAACATAGGAAAAGAACCACCTAATGACTCCAAAAAAAAATAAACAAGCATCCAAAACAGTCAAGGCGTGTATAAGAAATACCTTGTCAAGAGCCAGAATTTTTCTCCAAATTAAAACGAGCATTCGCCGCAGCTCCACTGCCGTTGTTTGAAGCAGCTCGAGCACGTAAAGAAATATTCCAACAGGCAAGGCCTATCGAGAAAATGTAAACCTAAAAACTATGGTTTGTCTCGTCAATCACAACATTCCATTATCTATTTGCATGTATCGGATCATCGTGGAAAACAAAGAGACTAAAATATTTTTTCTCCAGCGTCCCGAAAAATCCTAACATTTAACAGCATATATGTACAATATTTGTAACCAAGGGACCGTTTGGGGCAGCTTGTGCGTTTCAGGATAAACAACTTAGGTCAAATGGGGTCTACCTGCGATCTGAATAAACTCAAACGCAGTTTCAAATAAGCTGATGAAACGGACGAACCAAACATTACAGCGGCATTTTGAAAACGCCGCCTGCACTTATAACCTGACCCAAATGGACCCTAAGACATGCCCATTTGACCTACAAATATTCAACATTCACCTACAAAATTATCACAGGAACTCTTCTTATATATTTGAAACGAAAGTCTATATAAGTAGAGGGATTAATCATAAAAAAAAGTAGTTAAGAGTAGTTAATCCCATTTCAGTCTCAACGGCTCTGATTGATTTAAAAAAAAAACCATTTTGCTGGAATCAATCCTAGCTGTCAAAAGTACATCAGACGTTCTGGATAAAAGTTATAATGTAAAGAATTTGCCCCTTTGAAATTAGCAACCGTATTGCAATAACAAAAGGATGTGCCGACCTTTGTACATCTTCTGTTTCTCATTAATAAAGGGGCACTTTCTCGTTGACGATTATTACTCCACCATCTACACCTCAACATCATTACCAGAATCTTATAAAGTATAAGAGGCTGTAATGCTATTCAGATCAAACCCCAATATTATTTTTTTATATGCTTATATCAGTTTTATTTATTTTTCTCTAATATTTTATCATTAAAATGTCTGCAGAATACATTGAAATTTTGTGGAAGGATGTAGGGAGAAGCTTATTGATGTAATTTTACTTTACTAACTTTTCATATCTATATATAGAAAGAGAGAGAGAGACACACACACACACAAAAACACACACACGTGTGTGTGTATATTTTTGTCTGTGTCGCGTACCCTAGTCTGCTGGTTGGCATTCTCGGTATAAAACCCCTCAGGTCAGGGGTTCGAATCCCCTCTGACGACGTGAGCCTTAAGGAGGTGGTACTTGAATAATTAAGCATATTAAGAGTGGTTGGATGCTCCTCCAATAGCATCTTGCCAGTTTATTTTACAATATATATTCTAGAACTTTGAATAGTTAAGCGCATTAAGAGTGGTTGGAGGCTCCTCCGATAGCATCTTGCCAATTTATTTTAAAATATATATTCTATAACTTCTCACCAAATCCATTCTCTTATTATCAGGATTGTATGATAAAATAAATGGATTATAAAAAGTAAGTTTAATTTCATTTAAAAAATAAATAAATGAAATGCTAGCTCGATCAATTTATCAAGCTCAATAGCTCAAAATAAGTATTTTAATTAAATAATAAAAATATAAGTTTTTTTTTTTTTTTGAATTTGGCCCAAATAATATATTTCCAGTAAGAAGACCAAGAGCCAGCTAAATAACTCATAATCTATAGGCCTTAAACCGCTTTGATGCAATTCTTCAAAGAGAAGAAAAAAAAAAGAGAAATTGCAGAAGCCTCTCATGCAAAATTGACAAGTATCATGATTCAAATCTATCCCAAACTTCACAAGTAAAAGTGCACAAAAAAAAGGAATTGCAAAACTGTCCCAAGAACCTGAAGAAGCATGTGCTCTTCAATGCCTAAATAACTTCCCCTCACAAAGATTCCCTCAAAGAAAACCAGGCCATCTTCTCATAAACGTGCTGATCTTCTTATAAAAACCTGATTGCAGCCAAAAACAACAGCACATAAAACGTCTACCATCCTGATAAATACACAGACTACACCCCCAAATTATTGCAAAAGAAAAGAAAAATTTCAACACAAAAACTGAATAACAAAATTATTTATAAATCTACATGCTTCCTCTGCTTCCTGAATTCCCCCACTCCTACAACTTACAAATTGAAAAATTTCATAACCAGAGACTCTCAGGCACCACAACCTGCACCACAAGCCACCCCACAGCCTGCTCCATCATAGATTTGCGGCTCTGACTCCTCCATTTTTCTATCCTTAGCTCCCTCAGCACACAGAAATACCACAAGCCAGACCAAGAGGAGCATAGAGAACAGAACTGTTCCCAAAAAAAAGAAAATTTCTTGCTTATCTTCGCCTGCAACAATACCAATTGCTGCCAGGTTCGACAACCTCCTCATCTTTTCTCTCTTCTCAGAATGAAACCCAAGCAATATATTAAATATTGACCAACTTGTCTAATGATCACTGTATATTAGTCAACATATATAGGGACATCGAATGACTAATGGAAGCTTGCATTATGGTGGGGACTCATTGCTTTTCTTTGAACGTGGATGGGTTTGGTTTCTTTATATTCTAAAGTTGAATGCAACTTGCATTATAAGGTTGAATTTAAGCATTTTGATGCGTTTACTTTTTTTTTTTTTTTTTT